AGATAGATAGATAGATAGATAGATAGATAGATAGATAGATAGATAGAGATGGATGGATGGATGGATGGATGAGGAGATGATAGACAAACAGATGATAGACCAGGGCTTTTCCAACTTGACCGCTTTAAGACTTGTGGACTTCAACTCCCAGAATTCCTCCTCCAGTCATGTTAGCTCAGGAATTCTGGGAGTTGAAGTCCACAAGTCTTAAAAGCGGTCAAGTTTGAAGACCCTTGTGATAGATGCTTTGAGGCTGCCCCCCCCCCCAATAATTGTAATACTTGGAAGGCACCAGGTGGGGGAGTTGATAGAGCATCTCTCTTCTTGGACCCCCACTTGGCAGGAGGGGGCGCCCGGCTTTCCCGGCCCCTCTCTAAATTAAGGGCAATTGCCTTCACGGCCATTGAGGCCTCTGGACTCGGCTCCCCTCTTCTTTCCCTGGCGTTTATTTGCCTTCGATATTTGCTCCAGTTCCTCGGCTCAAGGTCCCAGAGAGGCTTCTCTGAACCTGACAAAGATCCTTCCCTGATGACCATTGGAGGCAAAAAGACGGATAATCCACAGGAGTCACTGAAGCAAGAAAATGAGGTGGTTTTTTTTTTTGGCTGAGGCCAGAAGAAACGCTTATAAGCCATGTTTTTTTAAAAAAATTCGTGTTTAGCCAATCCATCAGGCTGGGGAGAATGGGAGTGCGGAGGGCACAATCCCTTCCCTGCCCCTGTGGCCTCCCCCAGGATCGAGTGTTAAAAGGGCAGGCTGCTTGGGTCACAGGTCTCTCACCTCCTCGGTGCTGTTCAAAGGACCAGGGTCCCGCTGCATCTGTTGTGCGATTTGCTTTGCGTTATTTGCGTGCAAATTGTCTTTCAGTCCTGCCCAGCACACTTCGTGCAGCTTGCAGAATTATGCACAGCAACAATGGAAGACACCAATCAATGAAGGAACAGCACAAGGAGGATCAGTGTGCAAAGGCTTCTCTCACAGAATGCTAGTGAGATGATTCGATAGATAGATAGATAGATAGATAGATAGATAGATAGATAGATAGAT